TTTTCTTTTCTCCATTGTTGTCTTTCCGGTGCTTTTATATCTGCCATCTGTCTCCACATTTTCACTGTGTTACTGGTAAATTCAGCTGGTTCTGTTTCTTTACAGCATCCAACCACAGGCTGAAGCAGAGTATGAAGCACCCTGGGGGATCAGTGTAACGCTCAGCAGTTGAGCAACCCAACACACCATATTTCCTTTGATATCTGTATCAAAACGAGCATAATTTGCAATACAGCTTCAAGAGGAGATAAAATATTTAAACCGGGGTGGAAGAGTTGGTATACAGTTCGTGGCACAAATAGCAAGCTAATGTAGCCCTTGGAGCTCTAACAAAGCAAGTCACAGATGCCAGAGCTTTTCAAGTGTTCAGAGTCTGTCGGAGAGAAAAAAGGTAAGAAGAGGCGAAACATGAATACAGGAAGTGGAAAAGCAGATGTAGCAGTCATCCCCTTATCCTCCCTCTCATCTGTTAATGATGCCCACTCATCCATGTTTTCACACTTTCGTGCATGTGTTAAAACTATGAACCCAAATCCACCTCAACAGGAGTTGCGAGTAGCAGCTTTCTGCCTGTGAAAACAGTGTTAATCAGAATGATCCTTTCTGACTAATTGACTGTCTGTTGTCTCTAGTTTGCAACATCTCTTGGTGTTGCAAAGCAATTTATGTGTGCTGGGATGATGTTGCTACCCGATATGCTGACCTTGCTTACCTGAAATGCTAAAAGTCTTCACTGGTATAAAAGTGATGAAACTCTTTCACGAAACATAACATAACACAGCACCCCACTTGTTAGTCAATGACAGCTGGACAGACTCCAGACCAGCAGAGACCCTGAATGGAACAAGTGGAAGAAGACGGATGGATGGATGGATGATGTACTACTACACCAAAGCCACAATTTAGAGGGGGAAGCAATATAAGCTCCTTTTTCTATCTTATATAAAGCTTATGCCGAACATCCACCAATCTAATCATTCAAAGCTGCTTTTTGCTGTAAGCCATAGATTGTACTTGTGACTATGGCTGAATTTCTCTGAGGACCAGAGGAAGCACTGTAATTCCTTGTAATTCCAGTTGAGATGAGTTACACTGAGTCCACATTAAGGCTTGTTAATGCTCTTGTCTTTGCAGCAGTCATAAATGGACTTTTTTGACTACTGAATGTATAAAAATGCATATTCTACTTGAGCACTCAAAGAACTTTATACAACTTGCCTCTTTTATCCATTCATTTAAGCTCTTTTTTACCTATGCTCTACCTAAGTGCTTTCTATCCAATAACACACACTCTGATGGCTGCATCAGACAGCAAACTGGAGTTCAGTGTCTTACCCAAGAATACTTTGGCATGCAGACTGGAACAGCCAGGGACTGAACAACCAAAGGACAGAATAAGCAATGTATGGGCCTGAAACTCAAAGCTATCTGTTCCCTAAAACATAGCCTGCTTTTAATCTAATTGAGATCTAAAATTATGAAATGAACATCATGCTGTCTTCAGTTGCACTTAAAACTCATAATAAAGGCAATAAAATCATCAGTAAAATGTTTACTGAGGTCACAGATCAAGTTAGCTAAAGGCACTTCCACAGTTTTCTAGATCCTGACTATAAGACCTTTTTCCTTCCCAAAATATGATTGTACAAGAGCCTACACTATTTATTTATTTATTTATTCGGGACCAAATACTTTTCTCAAGTCTATATTCTCTGTGAGAATTAACCTTTATCCGTTAAATAATGTCCAATATGATCACTAATGTGACAATTTTCATTTAAATCAGGGGTGTCCAACTCCAGGCCTCGAGGGCCGGTGTCCTGCAGGTTTTACATATCACCCTGGGTCAACACACCTGAAGCAAATGATTCGTTTCAGGCCTCTGGAGAACTTCAAGACATGTTGAGGAGGTAATTTAGCCATTTATAAGTTTGTGTTGGATCAAGGACACATCTAAAACCTGCAGGACACCGGCCCTCAAGGCCTGGCGTGAGACACCCCTGGTTTAAACCATCTTTGCTACTGAGAAATGTATCTATCATTTTGCATATGTCTATCCAAATAAAAATCTGCCTTGCTGGCAGTTACAAGTAAAGCGTTACTGTAATCCAAAGCGTGGATGTACTTACATTAATTTAAGTTTTAGTCCATAAAAAGTGACCAAAACATTAGCATCCGCTGTACAGTCTGCATGGGAAGAAAACTTCTTTCTACAGTGAAAATTTAAACTTCAAATCCGAGCAAGTACCGAGCACGCTGCCACGGGAAATACACAGAGAAACCCCCGGATCCCCCCACTGACAGACCGCTGCTGCACTGGGCAAAGCTCCACCCGCCCCACTCCTGCTAAACAAGTGAAAATAAATTTAAGAGCAACAGGACTCAGTGCCGCTGAGTCTTTAGATTTTATTTATTTTTTGCTGTGTTTTACTTGCATCCATTTGAAAGAGTGTAAACACAAAACATTATTTTATTTTATATGCTGGAATATGCAGAAAATAGGATTAAATGTTATAGAATTTCTTCAAGTCAAAGACTGTTGCATATAATGCAATTTTTGCTTAATGCAATGTGCATAAAATTAAAAGATTAAAACTCATAAAACTATTTTTAAAAAGAGGCTTTC